TAAAAAACAAATAGGGTCAAATCCCATGTGCACCGGTCGACCGATGACAGAGCAGTGCAACACCACCGGTCGACCGGTAGTGTGCACTTCGGTCGACCGCACAGGTCGACCGGTTGCAATGCGATCCGGTCGACCAGATAGGTCGACCGGTGGAATCAGTAGGGTGAGGGAAACTCACCTAAATTAGTCTGAAAACTTGCAATTTCAGTTCCAATTCAAAATATCTCAAGGGAAAACCACTAGATCCGGGTGCTAAGTACTAAATCAAGTCCAACGAACCCAAGATCTCCAACTTCTACTATGGTTTTACTCAAAATCCATGAAAATCCGTGTTGAACTAAAAATAGGTTTTCAAATACACAAATCTGAGATTCAAGAGAGGGTTTTTTTTTTTTTTTTTTTTTTTTCAGAAATCTTACCTCAAATCCTTCTCTTGATGTTGAAAACTTCTTTAAATCTGTCTTTGGTTCGAGATCTGGTCATTTTGAGTCAGAAACGGGAGAAAGAGAGAGTAGGAGTGAGAGTGAGTGAGAGAGAGAAAGTGAGAGTATGCACGGGAAAGGAAAGAAAGGAAGGAAAAGGAAAAGCAAAGAAAAAAGAAAAAGGAAAAGAAAAAAGAAAAGAAAAGAAAAGACAGGTGTCCAACATTTAAAATGACAGTCTAGAAATGTGCCCATACACATTTCTGGGTAAAAATGTAAATACTGAGAATATTTAAATACCTTAGAATTTTTTAAATTCACTCATTAGAAACATTTAATAATCAATAATCAATAATTAATCCAGATTACGCACACTAATAAATCTCAATTACCTTAATGAATTCCATTTAATTTTTCAGGGAGTTTCAACTTACGATATGCATAACTTTTGTGCAATATAGAAAAATACGCTTGTTAGGGATATAGACAAAAGAAAACTGTTGTACTCACTGGAGTTCCGCTAATATCATGACTTACGAATCCCCAGAAACAATCCAACTTCGATCGTCTACCGATCTTATTATATAAATTTTTGATCGTTAGATTTACAATCTAAGACCAATAATTGCAATAGAATTTAACTTGAAAAGGTTTATAATTCTAATGTTCGATATCTGTACCAAAATATCTCCTATCTCAACATTGTGCTCCAAACTTGTGCATATTTGATCTATAATTACCATCTTGGACCAGTTTCAGAAATTAGCTCGGAATTGGCGTCTAAGGACATTTTTGAGAAAAATACTATTTCACAAAAGTTGTTCGGAACAAAACTTCCTACAACTTGATGTCGATTAATTTTTGAACTTAAGCTTCAATCTTGGTCCGTTGGCCTAAGCATGGTCAGTTACACATTTTCGGTCATTAACTTAGCTTTCAGTTTTGGTCTGAAACTGAGAATTTTCATCGTTTTAGGTTTCTGCACATCTTCAGTCACCTTATCAACTTATTTTTCACACCTTATTCCTCCTATTCTTTAGTCCAATCAAAATTAGTTCATATCTCTAAACTAAATTTCGGCGGAGTTCCGCCTGATTTTTCGTGTTTCCCGAGCTATCCATAGCTCATTTTATCTGTTGTTTCAACCTTTTAAACACATATCACAACCATTCTCATTCCTTTTATCATACTAAACATCATAAGCTTTTGGGTTTCATCACTATTGTCAGAAGATTTCTCCCTAAATAAAATGCTAAAAACATAATCTAATAACTGAAAATGTCTCCTTTAAACATCAAGTTTTTTAGTACCATTCATAACCAAAAGCAAATCATCATTCTTAGCAAAAAAATTTCTATAATCTCTACTGTTCATGGACATGCATCCAAAGTGAAAAATGAGGAGAAAAATTGAAATATCACCTTAGAAGAATAGAGAGAAGACCTTAGTGGCGTGAATTGATGGTATAATTTGCCAATTTAGATTTGAACTTGTTTTCTCAATTTTTGGGAGAATATTTTTTCTTCTCTTTTGGCTGAATGCTCACTGGTTTTTGGCATGAAATATGAACACTTAAATTGTGTTTATTCACTAAAAGAACCAGTTAAAAAAAAGAAAGGGACCAAAGAGCAATTTCCATATTTACCAAGGTCCTTTTTACAAAAAAAGTCAAAAATATCTTTTCTTTTCTTCTTCGGTAAGCTTGGCTGGCCACCTCTCTTCCCACATGTCCTAATCTCAGCCTTCCATCCATTTAGTTGCTTTAAATCTCAACCATCCATATATAATAGTTATCTTTTTCCGGTTCAGTTTAATACTTATCTGGTGCTCGTTTTACCTGCGTTTTCTGGACAATTGGTCAGCTTGGTCAACTTTACTCAACCTTGACTAACTTTTCAAGAGTGACCTATTGGTTGAATCTTGCTCAATAAATTTTGACTCGGTCAACCCTAATTCGTCGAAAACCCTAATTTTCTCAGTTTGGCCTTTCGAACCTCTTTTTCATCTGTTCTTCGTTCTGGCTGTTTCTAAAACTCTAAAATTGATGTTTTTCAATTCTTTTTCATTCTTTAAGCTTAATATTTATGTTTTTGTTCTCTTATGGGATAACAAAACATTGCGAGCCTCATTCTTGATTACAGTATGAAATCGGTGACTGCATCATACCTTAGAAATTTCTAATTTTTAACTTATAATTTGCAATTCAATATTATTATAAGAAAATACTTATCATTGATGTATTCATACTTATAATACAAAGAGTTTCAAGAAATTTTCCCAGTCATGCAGTAGATAACTCCGATCAATCAAGATCGAGAGACAAAAAGTACAAAGGCCTACCATAGCAACTGCAATGAAACATGACATGTGCACTAAACATAACGAAGACACTAGAAGGTGAGGAGACCACCTCCGTTATTACAACAAAACACCAAAAAAAATAACAAAAACATCCTAAAACTAAATGGTAAAAACATCACCACGTTTATTTAAGAAATACAGAAATTAAAAAAAAAAAGAGGTATTCAAATAATGCCAATCGGATATCCGAGAAATAAATGGCCACCACCAAGAATGAGTGAGGGTGCTGTGGCAAACCAACCGATCAAAGAAGATGTTGAAAATGAGCCGAGCCTTTGCTGCCTCTAAGCGCCGTCAATAAAGGGAAGAGCCTCATGGTGTATGAAGCTGCTGGCCCTTAAGACCTGACACCCCACCACATAGAGGATAACCAAAGGAGCAAGATATTGAGAAGGCCAAGTCCTTGTGGGCTCAATCTCGCCAATGTACTGATGCACCCAATGTCTACAACTAAAGACAAACCGGAAAGAACCACCTCAAAAACCGTACCTCCCTCACAAAACAAGATGCCACTTGTGTTTCACCAGAGAGGTCCAATCCGTCACATCTAGGCACCACCAAGGAGACCAAGAGTTCGAAGCACCGTCTAAGGGCGGCATCAAACTCCGATCCTTTGAATCCTATCTCTGAGGCAGCACAAAGAAAAGTGAAGGAGGAAGAAAAACCCTAGCAGAGGGAATATCACTTTTTTCCCTTATCGTTAATGTTTTGATAGCAAGAATCCATGCATTCGCACATGTGAAAGTAAGCATTACACGGTGTCCTTTTTGTCCATTTTTTCACTTATTTAATGTCTTTATGACGCGTTCTTACGAGTTTATATAATTATACTAGTTGAAGAACACGTGCTATGTACATGAAGAGTAATCATGTATTAAGTTTTAATTATTATGTTAGTATTAAAAGTACATAAAATTCAAAAAGAAACTAAAATTTTAAAAATTAAATTTTAGGTTAAGTAGCCAAAAAACCAAAAGGACTAAGATGAAAAGGGGTAAAAACCTTAGAGAGCAAAAAAAAAATGTTGTTGTACTGTAGCATTTTGAATTAAACAGGCGTCATTTTGGTTGAAAAACGCGTGAATAATAAAGGGGATTCACACTTCTTATATGTGTAGATTACTAAAAGGGGGGGAGAAACACTAGCTTTCCCTTCCTCGGAGTTATCATGTCGGCCATGATCTTTTGCTATTTCACTTCAAAGTTCAAACCCCTATGCCCTCCTACTCGCCTTTTCATGTCCTTTTTTTTTTTTTGTATGCCTACTTCTCTTCACTTGCTTTCTCCTTCTCTTTTCCCTTTGTATATGCAAAAGTCCGCCGCCCATTTGAGACTCTTTCTCTCTTTCTCTCTCTCATGGTATAATCTTTCTAGGCGTGTCCCGTTCTAGTAGCGGAGAAAAAAAAATACAAATAGTACATGCATTATGAAAGTAAATAGGACCTTTATCGATACATAAAAATAAGTGGGTTATATTTTATTGCCCCACAAATATCTGAAGTACATACAATGTAATTATATGTTAAGTTTATATTTATCTGATAAGTTTACTAAATTAATCAGTTTAGATGGGGATTTTTAAATTTAAAGTGAAGGGTCAAGATCAATGACAATTAAAGATCTAATATTAATTGATGGAGGAAGAAAAAGGGGGAAAATTCAAGCATAACCGGCTTTTGTGTCGGGAATTGTGTGAGGAACTGGAAATATGTGAGGGATTAGGCCAAATTATGTGGGGAATTAAGTGAGATTAATTGAGGGTTAGGGGAGAATTAGGTGACAAAATTTGACCATGTAAAAGATTCCTTCCCTTCCCCTCCCTTGGATGGCCCAATTAAAATAGTATCATTAAGGATTTTTAGGTCTCAACATTGGCTATTGAATTTTACTCTTTTGAAGTAAGTAATTTGACAGATTATAATCCTTAATTTGACAAATTATGCTGGTGGCAGGTCTATGGTCGCGGGCGGAAAGTCTTTGATCGCCAGTGGCAAGGGTCATTTGACAGAATACTATCTATAATTTATCAGATTATTATCAAAAGGGTAACCTATCCATAATGATGTATTTAAGGGTTAGTTTTAATATTTTTCTCAACCACAAAAGAAAATTTTTGCAAATAAGGCCCTCTTAAAGCTTGCTCTTCACTTAGACAACAGTTGGACTAAAACTCACCATTTCTCTCTTTCTTCTCCTCAAATTTTCAGGACATAAAAGTCACCCTTTTTTCCCCAAATCTAGCGAAGTCTCTCTTCCTCGATATTTCAAAATATCCCATCCGTAAAACTTAGAAAATTTCCCCTTCAATCCAAGATTTAGAAGATCAAGTCCATTTGGCAGGAAAGTGTTGTTTGAATTGTCAGTTTTAGTTTGAGCTTTGATTAAACACTACTTAGAAGAAGAACAAATTTTCAAGGAGATTGAAGAAGTCCAAGGAAGCTCGAAGAGTCCACTCAAGTTCTAGGTAAGAGATTGAAAACATTAACTTTCTGTAAAAAAGTTTCTAGTTATTGTTAATATATATATATATATATATATAATTAGTTGTGTTCATCTTTCGCTAAGAATGTTAGTACCGTGATTTTGTGTCTGTATAATACTATTAAAGGTTTGTCGTATGATGCTTTAGGTACCACCAGTGCCATTTTTCTGCTCTCTAAAGTCTGCTCTTATATATATTTTCTTCCTTCTATGTTCATCCGCAACTTATACAAGTACTTACCCGTTTACATACAAATTGTACGTCCTTTTAATTAATTGAGATAAATGATATATTAGGCCACGCAAATGTCGGACGTTGAACATAATTCCTCGGACTCACCCCAGCCAATGGTACTAATTTCCTCATGTGCTTTTGTTTTATTATCACTAAAAATTATACCTATTGTTCCTCGTTCTAAAACCATTAACGTTTTCTTGTTTTTTTTTTTTTCTTTTTTTGTTCTTTTCTTTTCTTCTTCTTCGTCTTTGATCTGAAAGGATATCATAAAAGCTGCTGAAACCGCTATCAAGAGTCTGGTACATAAATAATTCTTTCTATATGCTGTAGATATATATATATATATATATATATATATATTATCTGAACTATGCCATTTTTAATATCCCATATTTGTCCATATTCCTTTACACTTTTTTACATGTGTGTTCTTCTCTGTAATTAACAATTGTTCTGTAATTAGCAGTTGTTGTTTGATACTGATTGTAATTTTCAAATTCACAGGATGACAATACCCCTCCACCAATAATTGAGCTTTTGACAACTTTCCTAAGAGAAGTCGAAAAATATGTAAGTAGTTCTCATTCATATATAAACAGCTTTTAGTATATGATTGTATTAAGAGTTTGGTATCATGGGTGGAAATTGTAAATATGGATAGATTAGGTGTCAATCTGTAAATAGGAGTAAGTAGATTGCTTTTGTTTCTATTTTTTGTTTTCTTGCTAAGCTGGAGATCTGTTGCAACAAGATCTTTTTCCTGCTTCTTTTCCGTTTTGTATAAGGACCTTTTTGGTTGTTTTTTCCAGTAAGCAATTTAGTGAGTGCTTCATTTTTCCCATGTCTCTCAGTGGTGTTTATTTCCTTTTTGTAATATGGTATAAGAGCAGTTTGATTCCTCTGCCAATCTCTAGAAATTTTTCACTACCCGTCCAATGACTAGGGCCGGCGGAAATCCCAACAATCACGTGGTTGTGGGTTCCTTAGCTCCATCGGCCATGGAGGATTCAGCGAGCCCTTTCTTCCTGCACAATGGAGACCACCCAAGAATCATTTTGGTTTCCAATCCACTCGCTGGATCCAATTTCAACACCTGGAGCCGATCCATGATTATGGCTTTGACTGCCAAGAACAAGATCAGATTCGTTGATGGGAGAATTCCACGACCTGAATCAGACGATCTCCTCTCTGGCGTGTGGATACGCTGCAACAACATGGTGATTTCCAGGATCTTGAATGTTGTAAGTCGAGACATAGCCGACAGTCTTCTTTACATTGATACTGCTGCTGATATTTGGGCAGATCTCCATGAACGCTTCCATCAGAGTAATGGGCCACAAATTTTCCAGATGAAGACTCACCTCGTGGCTTTGCATCAAGGAGCTCTTGATGTGAGCACGTATTTTATCCGTCTGAAGATACTTTGGGAGGAGGTAAAGCTGTACCAGCCAATTCCCGTTTGTCGCTGTGGAGGGATGAAAAGCTGGATGGAGTATCAGCAACAAGAGTGTGTGATGCAGTTCTTGATGGGACTGAATGAATCCTCCAGCCAGACACGAGCCCAGATCCTACTAATGGACCCCTTACCACCTTTGACCAAGTTGTTCGCTCTTATGGTACAAGAAGAGCGCCAGCGGGCAATCAACGGTGGGATTCCTGTTCCCACCACTCTGGCCGTAGGAGATTCACCTTCTACAGTTCCCACTGCACCGGTGTCCAACTTCACACCTAGGCTCAGGCGAGACCGTCCGGTCTGTACCCACTGTGGCTTGCAAGGTCACACGGTGGACAGGTGTTACAGAATCCATGGCTTTCCTCCTGGTTTCAAGACAAAGCCCATGCAAGCACCATCTAGGCCACAAGTAAACCAGGTTGCAGTAGTGTTGTCTGAAGAGCGCACCCCAGAGGCTCCAGCTAGGGACTTAACTGCCTCCCAATGCTAGCAGCTCATAGCCCTCTTAAGCTCTCAACTCCAGACCAGCGCCTGCTCAACTTCGGATCAGCAACAGCCCAAACCATCAGTCTCAAGCTTCAGCGGTACCCTCTTTCTCCCTGCTAATTCTGTTTTGTCTACTGCTTTTTTTCCTTCCACATATTGGATTTTGGACACAGGAGCAACACACCATGTTTGTTGCTCCTTATCATGTTTTGATCACTCTAAACCTATAACCTACTCCTCTGTTTCGTTGCCTACTGGTCTCACTGTAGAAGTCACTCGTATAGGATCTGTTCCTTTTTCAAATAACCTCATTCTTCACAATGTTCTCTATGTGCCACAATTTCGTTTTAATCTCTTGTCAGACAACTCACTCACCCAGAGTCATCATTTGTCAGTTAATTTTCATTTTGCCTCTTGTGTGCTCTAGGACCATACTCAGGGCCGAATGATTGGGATAGGTAGAAGAGAAGGAAATCTCTACGTCTTGGACTCTACAAGCCTAGCTCCTGATTCCCCTAGTCATTTACCAGTTTTCCCTAAGTCTATAGCAGATTGTAATAATTTTGCTTAACAGAAAATGAAATTTGGCACTATAGGTTGGGACATCCCTCTTATGTAAAGATTCACACATTGAGAAATGAATTGAAAATTACAGATATTACAAATGATTCTTCTCATTGTTCAATATGCCACTTTGCTAAGCAACGCCGATTGCCCTTTATTTCTTCCAATTCCTTAATACACTGTGACATATGGAGGCCCACCAATGACCACTGAAGGTTTTCGCTATTTTTTAACCATTGTAGATGATTGTACACGTTTTACTTGGGTATACTTCATTCGTGCCAAATCCGATGTCAAAATTGTATTTCCAGATTTTTTCACTTTGATTCAAAACCAGTTTAATACAACCATCAAGTCGGTTAGGTCTGATAATGCCAAAGAATTGTCTTTCTCTGAATTTTTCTGCAAAAAGGGCATCATCCCTTACCATTCTTGCACAGACACCCCCCAACAAAATTCTGTTGTTGAAAGAAAACACCAACACATTTTGAACGTAGCTTGAGCTCTTCATTTTCAGTCTCACATACCTCTAGATTATTGGGGAGACTGTGTACTCACAGCTATTTACCTCATTAATCGAACTCCCTCCCCCCTCCTGTCGAATAAAACTCCTTTTGAACTTCTTTGGAAAAAGAAACCATCATATTCTCACCTTAGGGCTTTTGGTTGCTTATGTTATGGTTCCACACTCAATAGACATCGACACAAGTTTTCACCTCGAGCCATAGAGTCTATTTTCCTTGGTTATCCTCCCGGGTACAAGGGTTATAAACTCCTTGATCTTGCCACCAACTCCATATATATTTCCAGAGATGTTGTTTTTCACGAAACAACTTTTCCCTTCGAAACAGAAAATTTTTCGGATTCCTCTATTGATTTCTTCTCTGACAGAGTGTTACCATGTGTCTCTGATGTTGAGTCTCCTCCTCCCATGTCCAATCCTCTACCTGATTCTCCTTCCACTTCCACACGTCCAATTCGCCATGTTAAGACCCCTTCTTATCTCCGAGACTATCACTGCTCTAATGTCTCTCTTCTTTCATCATCCACAGCTCATCCCCTCTCTCATGTGTTAAGCTATGACAAATTGTCCAATGATCACAAAGCTTTTGTCCACTCTGTCTCCACACACTTCGAACCATCCAGTTTTTCTCAGGCTGTTGCTGTACCGGAATGGAGAAATGCAATGACTGCCGAGCTTGAAGCTCTTGAGCAGAATGACACATGGTCAGTGACCACTCTTCTTGCCGGGAAGCATCCCATTGGTTGCAAATGGGTCTACAAACTTAAGTACCGGGCTGATGGTACCCTAGAACGTCACAAAGCCCGTCTCGTTGCAAAAGGATACACGCAACAAGAAGGCATTGATTACCTTGACACTTTTGCTCCTGTGGCTAAAATGGTGGCGGTTAAGGTCCTTCTTGCCCTTGCTGCCATCCATGGTTGGTCTCTCATCCAACTTGATGTGAATAATGCTTTCCTTCACGGTGATCTCCAAGAGGAAGTTTACATGTCTTTACCTCATGGTTATCACCGTGAGGGGGAGTCCTTACCTCTTAATCCTGTCTGCCAGCTACATAAGACCATTTATGGGCTTAAATAAGCCTCTCAGCAATGGTTCTCCAAGTTCTCAAGTGCATTACTTGAACAAGACTTCAAACAAGCTGCCTCAGACAACTCCTTGTTTATTAAAAGGAATGGAGTCTCTTTCATTGCATTGCTAGTCTATGTAGATGATATTGTTATTGCCACTAACAATGAGACTCTAGTAGAGGATTTCAAAACTTTTCTTGACAGCCGTTTCAAACTCAAGGACTTGGGAAGATTGAAATATTTCCTGGGGATAGAAGTGGCTAAATCAAATACAGGCATCTCTTTAAGCCAGAGGCATTATGCCTTGCAGCTCCTCTCAGACAGTGGTTATCTTGGATGCAAAACTAGGAAGACCCCCATGGATCCCAATGTGAAACTTTCCCAAGATGAGGGAGAATTACTTGATGATCCATCTCAGTATAGAAGAATTATTGGGAAGCTTCTATACCTCACAATAACAAGACCAGACTTGTCATACTCTGTTAACAAGTTAAGCCAATTTCTTGCCCAACCGAGAGCCCCTCATTTGAAGGCTGTACAACGGGTTCTTCAATATGTCAAGGCAATAGTTGGACAAGGGATCTTCTTTTCTGCCAGCTCCTCAGTCCATTTGAGAGGTTTCGCTGACTCAGACTGGGCTTCTTGTCCGGATAGTAGGAGATCCATTAGTGGTTTTTGCATCTTCCTTGGGGACTCACTGGTTTCCTGGAAATCCAAAAAGCAACATACTGTTGCAAGGTCTACAGCTGAGGTAGAATACAGATCAATGGCCAATGCAACATGTGAGCTTATGTGGCTGCTCTCCTTGCTCAAGGATCTGGAAATCGACCATTCCAAGCTTGCAG